GTGGTTGGTAGGGGGGGGGTGGCTAGTAGTAGTAGTAGTAGTAGTAGTAGTAGTAGTAGTAGTAGTAGTAGTAGTGGTAGTGGTAGTAGTAGTAGTAGTAGTAGGAGTAGCAGCCCCCATGGAACCAAGGAACGGTAGCAGTTAGTGTAGCTGCTCCGCTCGTAGCGAAGAAACCGCCGCCGCGTTGAAATAGGCGGGGCAAAACAGGCAGGTGCCTCACACGCCGTAGTAGCTCCCTGGTCAAAACCCCACTAGAGGAGCGCCCATCTGAAGTTGGGAGCACTGCCTGTCAGACCCGACACAGAGGGAGCAGTGCGAGGAAGCCTTAGCTTCTGCTGCGTCAGGAGATTCAGCCAGAAGCCGTTGCGCTCTGGTACGCCCTTATGGGAAGACGGACTCTGCTTGCTGCGCACGGAACTTAGGACAGACCGGTATCCTCAGGAGGGTAGTTGTGTTCGTCAGCTCGGCTGCCATTTGCAAGCTTTCTATGATCTTGCAGAGCTGCAACAAGCACTATGAACCTTTCCGCAGCGGTTTTGTGGCTTGTGCGTTTTTTTGCAGAAAAAGGGAACCTGAAGTCCAGACACAATCACGGGTCGCGACTTGACTGAAGCTGGACTGCAGGGCCTGGGCAGTTGTCTTGCCTCCTTGAAGCTGGTACAAGTACTGCCAAACTGAGGAGATGTGCTTGGGTGCTGGGAATGCGAGGCTCCCAGTTGCCTCTGGAAGGTGGTCTCAAGTCGCATAACTACACGAGTGGTTGCATTTGGGGCCCTGTACTGAAGTGATGAAAGGCAGATGGCAGCCTTCTCTGCAATTGCCACGTCCTAGCAAACGGCCCGAAGGCTGTAGCGGAGAGTCGGCATGTCCACAGGGAAGGGGTTTTCGGAGTTCCAATTCTCTGACGATGCTTCGGCGTTTTTCGAGCTAGTTCCACCTCCCGATTGTCCGCCGATTGTCCGGCTACGAGGTAGTGGTTTTGTAAGCTTTCTTTCTGTGTGTCCTGCGTCAAGGTCAGTGTTGCAACAAGAGCGGCCATACCTCACCTGCAGTGTGCGAAAAGAACACAGCAAAATGGATCGAGCATCGGCAGGTTGAGGCAGTGGTTGCGGAGCAGACTGCGAAGGCTGGTGTGGATGGTCGCCAGAGCATAGGGATGTGTGTGCCGGGGGAGGCAACCGAGGCTCTCGTGGATGAGCTGCTCCGCACAGCGGTGGCAGCCACAGCCGAGGCCCCAAATCGCGCTGTGAAGCTACTCGGCAGCAAGAGCTTTTCAGCGGCAACTGCAACCTGATTCTGAGCGGCAATCAAGGAGACGTGTTCGTCAGCGCTTGCACAAGAAGTTGGGAGCTGTGCTCAACAAGCAGGTTGGAAAAGTCTTTGCATCCGGGCTTCGGCAAAGCAAACCTCCTGGCGCATCCTTCGTAGAGGGAGCTGATGCTTTTGAGTTCTTGATTCCATCCGATGTCATGAATACACTCATGTAGCACGACCGCATATGCATACATGAAGCAGGAGTTTGAAGTGGCCATGGAGCGCTTTCATGCAGCTGCCGAGGCTGAGGGTTCTTTTGCTTGATGCCATCTACAATTGGGCCATAGGTGCCGAACATTCTGGGAACAGGTAACGACTTATGATTGTGTATATACTAATTTGTTCTGAAGTTTTTGTCACAGTATGCAAAATCCGCTTGCGACTTGCAAATGCTTGACGATGGAGATCGCAACGGCGGAAGTGCTGTGTGTCAGACAGCAAGCAAGGGGGCAAGGGCGATCTCTCGGCTGATGCATTGACCTGTCGAAACATGCCGGGTTCAGGCTCAGCGCGTTCGTCAAGATGAGGCTGCTCGTTCACAACGTAGAGGCAGACCGGGTCAACAGCTGATATAGGGAGCAACCGCTCGCAAAAGGACCCGAAGTCTTCAAGGTCAAAGGTAAAAGCCATGGAAGGGAGCACAAGCGAAGTTTCCAGAACCGCTTTGCAGGCCCTGTTAATCGAGCACCCGTCTCAGCCGCTGGCTGAGAGAATAATTTGGGCGTGGCCACTTTCCATGGGATCCTCGAGCCTTGAGGCTCCCATCGGCGCGGCTCCTGCCAGGCAGTGAAGCAGCGGAAGCGCCAGAAAGGTGAGTGCAGCACCCGGCACCCGCGAGGCCTCCACAAGCCTCCCCGTCGCAAGTGGTGGCCGTGCCAGTATGGATGGTCAGTTCCTCAGGAAAAAGGGTTCAGGCACGAAGGCACAGGAAGCGATGTGTTTACGAAAGAGGGATCGTCTGTAGGTTGTGAGTCTTGGCAGGTTGGAGCTCCTGTGGCTGGAGCTGCCCCTGCCGGGAGGCAGATGGGTTGCCCATAGTGTCTTCACGTTCACGGACGTCTGTAAGCTCTCCTGCAACCAGGATGGGCCAAGTGCAAATGCCACAGATGCCGCAGATGCCGCAACAGATGCAGCCGCGCTGGAATTGCGGAATACCGGTCTGCGCGGTTCAGGACCACAAGAGCCCTGGGAGGTAGATGCAGGCTGTGCTCTGACTGGAGCGGGAAAAGTCTTTGCCAACTCTACAGGGTTTGTGGTGTATTATAGTGTAGTTGTAATTAGTAACATGGGACCCTAGATAACTAGTTATGATGCGATAGACCGTTTCAATTTTGCCGTGGAAGGTCAGCAACGTGTATCTTGGCAGGATGTTCGCCAATTCCAGGAGCAGGTTCGCGTGCCGGAGATGACTTCTGCTCACGCAAAGGCAGGTCGTGTTGGAGGAACGGAGGTGTTAGCTTGGAACCCTGGCAAAATGCAGGTGCCATACATGAACCAGACATACATGGAGCCACAGGCAAGTTGCAAAGCCGCTACAAATTTCAGGTGTGGCATGTATGTTGCTAGTTGCAGGAGGACCTCGATCTTGGTGTCAATCAGACTTTCAGGTTTCAACGCGGCATGGCTGCAACCAGCTCGCATGAAGCATAAACGACACAAGCCTGCCGACAATGCCTGTGCAAGGTGCCGTGTCCGAGGGAGCAGGCGAGGAAGATGCAGCAGAGTGTTTTTGCCGAGCCCTCCAGGGCCAGGACTGCTACCGCAACTGACTAAGTGTGGAGACTCTTGTTGGTTGCTTGTGTGTATCGGCTGCATGCATTCTCACTTGTCCATCGCAGCAGACACTTGGACGACCTTGGTTTGAGAAGATTGAAGTGCAGGCTGTGACCACGTGCAGACTGTGCAGAACGCAGGCAGGGCAGCTCACAGCAAGACAGCAACTGTCGGCATTGTATGCGGGTCGGGGTCGAGTAAGCCGTTCACAGTGAACCTAGAAGCTCCTGCTACTGTAAAGAATCAGCGCAGTAAGCTGACTAGATGTCAGTTTGACGGAAGAGGCTTTTTCGGTCTTCGGTGTTTCAAACGATGCCAGGACCGGCTGCCAACCTTCCTGTCCAGCGCACGTTCATTCAGCCTGGGTCTTGGATTGACGCCACGGTGCCAGCTCTCCTGAGAACTGCCGTTGCACTGCAGGATAGTCGCGCTTAGGCTTAGGCAAGCTAGTTGCTTGAAGCTCCGTGGTTGCTCAGAGGTAGCAGCTTCCTTCACAGGACGAGTTTATACCTGAGTTTACATGAAAATGACGCAGGTTCAGCAGCCAGGACGGCAGCCAACGCCGCTCCAGGCACTCTGATGTTATGATGCAAAACACTGTGGGAGGGCACCGCAGATTTCAAGCTACTGCTACTTGCGCTGCTACTGTTACTGCTGCTTCTTCTTCTGCTGCCGCTGCTGCTGCTGCTCCTTCTCCTGCTCGTGATCCTGCTGTTTCTGCTCCTGCTGCTGTTGCTACGGCTGCAACCTAGCCACAACTGCTGCCACTGCTGCTAGTGCTACCAAAAGCTCCTGCTGCTGCCCCTGCCGCAACTCCCCCTCCTCCCACCGTCGCTGCTGCTGCTACTCCTACTCCCACACCCACTCCCATTCCCACTCCCACTCCCGCTCCTACTCCCACTCCGACTCCTACTCCTACTACCTGCTGCTGCTGCCGCTGCCGCAGCTGCTGCTGTTGCTGTTGCTGCGACTACGGCTACTACCACCACCACTACTACTACTACTACTACTTCTTCTTCTACTTCTACTTCTACCAGTATTATTCCCACCACCACCACCACCACCACCACCACCACCACCACCACCACCACCACCACCACCAGCACCAGCACCAACACCACCACCCACCACCACCACGGCGATGACGACGACGACCACGTCGACGACGACACCTAGTACTGCTACAGTCCTCCTACTGTACCGCGTGGGGTCCACGGTTGTGTTGCTCGTAGTAGCAGCAGTAGAAAGGCACTATCAGGGACAGGGTCGCTATCAGGAGCAGTAGTTCTTGTAAAGGCAGAGGCAACCTGCAACGAGCATACACATCATATCGCTCAGGATGCCTTCCCGCCCTGTCAGGTCTCAGTGACAGGACGGCGATGATTGATGACAGTTTGGAACAAAGCAGATGTCTGTTTGGAGTTAGGAATGCGGGTTCACCGTGTTTGGAGCAGGGGTTTATACAACTTTCTTTGCTGAACTTTTGCCCTCTGGTATTGGCCGAGGGGCCCCCCAAAAGGGTAACCGAGCAGACGCCGCTGGTGTTTGGAGACGATTCGTACAGTGCAAGTTGTGCAGCATTTCAGCGCAGAGATGTTCCCAGCTGCCATGGAGGCAGCTGCGAGGAATTAGATGTCCTGCACATTTTTCGAGACCACAGACGCCGACATTCGCGATGATGGTCGTTCTCTGAGCCTATGGAGTTTGATTGAGCGTTCTAGGCCATTTGCAATCTGCAAAGATGCCCATGCATTGTCCCATGCACATGCGCTGGGCAACCCTTGCAAGCTACACGGAGAGGGCAGGTATTTTTGGGGAGTATCGTTGCAGCTTTAGACGCTGTAAGCGAAGGCTCTCCTGCCTCTCCAACAGCTCTAATGGCCGCGTGGCCCAACCAGAATTCAAAGTTGCTGGGTAGTTGCGAATTTGCAGGAATGCTTGTTCTTCGATTTCAGCTTGAAGACTATCTGGTTTGAGCATCCCTTCTCTCGCTCTTCCTAAGCTTTGTGGCCGCTGCTGCAATCCCTCGCTGTGGGGAGAAAGTTTTGGTTCACCTTTGCTGGGCGAAGGCCAAGAGGCGCTTTCAATGCCTGCCTCAGTTCACCTGTCCAGGACTGACGCAATCTCGTTCAGGTTGTTGTCAAGATCATGTATGATCCTGTGGAGATGTCCTGGGAACTTCACCCGCTGTTAGGGATGGCGACCCACCAGTGAGGGACTGGGTGTGACATGCAGACAACCGACACACTCACTTTCCCTAAGAACCATGCACGCAGACTAGATTGCCGTGAAGCTGCCTGTCAGGCTTGTGGATTTGGAATGCTATGGACATGATCATGAACGTATGTGCTAACATCTCAATCTGTGAACAGTTGGTCTGCTGTCTTTGCCTTGATACCTCCTTGGTTTCCGGCCCTTGCTGGAGAACTTTCGAGTGGCCGGAAAATGCTTCCGAGGCAAGGGGGAAGGAGCTTTGAATCTCAACGTCCAGCAGTGGCCTTCACATAGTTCGTCCTGATCATCTTGCACTTGTAGGTGTAGTGTGATGTTGCCTAAACCTCCACCCTGGCCTGGAAGCTGATGGATGAGCGCTTCTAAAGCAGCGGTCAAAACGAAGCTTCGTGCTGTGGACTTGAGTTGCACGGCCATGACTTTCCGGTGCAGTTCGCCCTCAGATCCCCCGATAGCAAACTCAAATTCTCAAGGCAGCGCTTTTAAAGCAAAGCTGCCTGAGACAAAACAAGCTTGAAACCCTAAACCCTCATGAGCCCTGAACTCTAAGCAACTCAAAGCCCCGAGCCGTTTTCCAAGGCTTTACCGCCAGAGTAAGCAGATGCGGGTTGCCGACTTCCTCGCGAACGACCTCTCCGAGGAGCCCTGGAGAACGAAGGCTCGGACTGCTTGGTTAGTTGGGGTTTTGGGCTTTGTTTAAGTTTAAGGGTTGTTAATATAAGTCCATTGTATGGGGTTTAGGGTTAGGCTCAAGATTCAGGAATTTAAGGTTTAGCATCTAGGGTTTTGAGGATTTGGGGTTTGAAGGGCTTTTCGGGAATATTTAGGGTTCGGAGTGTTTCGGGTTCAGGATTTGGGGTTCAGGGGTTTCGTGATTTAGAGTTTAGTGGTTGATGGTTCAGGATTTAGGGTTGGGGGTTAGGGGTTTAGTGGTTTAGGGTTTAGTTTAGGGGTTTTTTCTTGCTCAGGTGCATGCTGAAGGTTCATGTGGTAGGCGTCAAGTTGCAGGACTCTTGGCCTGCACAGCCAGGCTTACGAGATTCATCGTTGTGGGCTTAAGGATGTTCGACACCTCGTTAAACTTTCCAATGATGAGCGGCTAAGGCACAAGCGATAAGGGATTGGGGGTCAGCTTGAGCGAGAGCCAGGCAGTTCATGATTTAATTTGGTTACGGCGAAGCTGCAGAATTCCGCCTCTTGAGCAGAACGGCCAGAAGCGTTTGCTGTAGAGTTCCCTGACCTGCTGCGTGAGTGTCGCTAATAGATTTTCGTTGGGAGACTTCGGTTGATTAGTGCTCGGAGGCCGAGAAGAACGCATTTGAGCTCGCTCGGCTCCCGTTCGGCAGAATCTGAGCGTCCTGGGTTCTTTCGCCGGAAGCTCTCTGAGGTGCGGCAGCGCCGCTTCGAACTGGCATGCGCTTTCTTCGTTTTTTCGCAGAGGGCACGGGATGCCATTGACGCAGACGGCTCGGCTTGCATGCTTCAGAAGCACCGACGAGCTTCGGGACTTCCAAAACTCACGTCTCCAAACATCTTCAAGCCCAAGTAAACCGTAGCATTTTGCTTGGCTCGATGGTTCGATGTCTGCCCCACCTGGGGCGATTGCAAAGCATCACGGCGCCGCACATGTGGCCGCCCAGCAGGGGAAGGTTCGAATTTTGGAGCTGCTCCACAGTATGGACCCCGACTGTGAGTGCGTATGCCTCCACGAAGCCTGCACCTCTAGAAAGCGTAATGCGTAATGGGCGTAGAGGATCCAGAGAGCCTTCGGCGCTCCGCTGCCGACGGTCGCACCCCTGCGCATTGGGCGGCGTTGAGCGGCCAGGTGGGAAGCTCGGAGCTGATGGCACGCGGAGCCGTTTCCATGAAGCTCTTCGCTGCAGGTGGCGGTGTTGGAGGTTTTGGCTTCCTTGGTGCCTGACACGCTCACAGCACACGCTCGCAACGGAGCAACTCCTGCTCACGATGCAGCTTTTCAAGGCTTGGGCCTAGCTGCCAGTTTGAGCTCCATCACAGTCTCGCAGTCAGGTAGGGCTTCCAAACCGAGTGAGGCCAGAGTCATGTACTGCTACATTTGCACCAGATCAACCCAACCAGCCTCGTGGCAAAGTCGGAGACAGGTGCGGGCTGCAACACATTTTTTGACCTTGACCGAAGCCGGAAGGCTGCCCAATTTGGAGGTGACGGCACAAGTTCTCTTTCCTGAGCAGGTGCAACGCCGGCACACGATGCGGCTTTCGGTGGCCACATCGAGACGATGAAACTCAGCAAGGGTTTCAGGATGCTGCAGGTGTCTTGTGCGTAGTAAGAGCGAGAGCAATTTTGGGGAAGCCCTCAGTTTCCAGAAAATACATGAAACGCAGCCGAAAGCTGAGGGCACTTGAGATGCACGTGTGTCACCAGGGCGTCCCAGACTGCATGCTGATGTCAGTAAGATGAAGAATCACCAGCGTCACTAGCCTCTATCACTATGGTCATCAGTACTAGTATCATCGCCATCATAAGTTTCACCAGTCTCATCATCGCCACCGGCACCACCGGCACTACCACCACCAGCGTCATCATCATCGTCATCCTAATCGTCATTATGATCATGATAATGATGATCGTCATACCCCCACAACCGGGCCAACTTCTGCTCCAACTTGCAGCTCCAAGGCTGCTCTTGAGGGAGCTGGCGCCGGAAACTCTTTCAGCTCGCGACCTACATGGCCGATGCGCGGCCCATGAGGCGGCGGAGACCGGACAGGCGCGACGTCAAAAGCCGACTCTACTAAGGTCCTCAGTGCTCTCTCCACCTTCCCCATGCTCCCTCATACTCGGACGCAGGACTCTCTGCTTCGGCTGCTCTACCTCTTGGTACCTGCGACCTTGCATACAAGGTTGGGGTTTTGGCAGACGGTGAGAGAGCGTTGACTTTCTCCGATTTTGGGACCTTCCAAGGGATGATGCAGGGTGGCTGCCTGAAGATGTGGCGGAAGCGCACGGCTGGGAGTCAACTGCCCGGCTGCTCAAGTCTTTGCCCGCGGTGCAATGTGATGACCCTGGTTCTGCCGATGACACGAGCGATGACGTGGAACAGGCCACGCGCGGACAGCGCCGAGAGACGGTCTTGCTCGATCCTCTTCCAGTTTGATGAAGTGCTGGGCAGGTATGCCAAAGAGTAGACGCACCGCCCGAGCCGGAGCCCACACCAGAGGCCAGAACAAACTGCGGCGGCTAGTGTTGGGCAAGCACTGGGAGCCATGACACAGGACCCAGCTCCTTCGGAACCGGAGGTGCCGGAGGTGCAGACAGAGCTCCAAGAAGCCCCCAGTCAGGCGGAATTTTGATTCTTGGCTCCTGGCAGTCTCCCTGTGTACTTGTGTATCCCGTGAGGCAGAGTCGGAGCATCCTCAAGAGCCCTTGAACGAGGAAGCTCCAGTGCAAGAGGCATCAGCCATGCGTCGCTTTGTGGTGTGACAATTCAGCTGCGAATCCATGTAATGTAGAATAGTAAACGGCAATCCCGAGCGACGGACACAAAACCGATCGTGAGCGAATGAGGGCCGCAATCAGACAATGATAAGCTTCATTCCACCGGCAATGTTCCAGGTGGCTCCAGAAGAGCCTCCTGAGAAGGAACCGACGAGATCTGCTGAGGCACGGTACGGCATGGCATGAATTCGTAAGAGGACCACCTTTTACCGTCCCTACATTATCATACATTAGACGATACACCAAAGCCGCCTAATGCCAAGCCAATTGTACTGAGATCAGCAGAATCGCTTCGGCTTGAAGGCTGGCTCCCCTGTGTCCGTAAGGTATCGGACGAGAGCACTGTTGAAGAACGGAAGAGCATCAAACCCATCACACCGGATCCTCTGGCATATGAGATTCTCTTGGACATATTATCAGCGCAGCTTGGCACTCCGTTCGCGCGCTTCGGGGCATGTTTTCTCACTTCGTCAGGATGCTTCCATTTGATACGAATGTGTTCCGAGTATTTCCGAGTTGCCTCCAGAACCGAGATCGACTAAGGAGCAATCTGCGCGATGCCGACTGGAGCCTGGCGAGTTCTGGAGGCTCCGATGCCTACTGCTTGGTGGAGGTTCCGGGAAGCAGCAAGGGCTTCCAGACCGAGGTGGTTGAAAACAGCTCCGAGCCAGTGTGGAAGAAGAGCGGCAAGCTGGTCCTGGCCCCAGAGGAAGAGGTGCTCTTCAAAGTCATGGACCGCGACGATGGCGATGCTGACGACCTGCTCGGGAAAGTCTCGCTGCCAGTTGCCAAGCTGCTGCCGGATGGTTTTGAAGGAAAGCTGGAAATGCAAGAGACTGGAAAGGCCACGGCCTTCTTGACTGTTCGCTCAAAAGTTTTGAGGGCGCTCTATGACGCAGCTGCGGTGGCCGATGCGCTGAAGGCGAGCCAAAGCCAACCCAAGCGTCCTCCTCCACCAAAGCCCCCGAAAGTGCACGAGATTGAAGTCACGGTGAAGGCTGCCAAGGGCTTGCGCAATGCTGATTGGAGCTTCGGAGGTTCCGGTGGATCAGATGCTTATGTGGCAGTGAGCGTCCCGGGGACCAAAAAAGAATTCCAAACGCCGGTCGTTGAAGACAGCTCCGATCCAGAGTGGAACTTCGCGCAGAAGCTGTCAGTAGCTCCGAAGGAGACTTTGGTCTTCAAGGTCTTTGACCGAGACAGACGTAATGACGAGCTCTTGGGCACTGCAAGCCTTGCCATCTCCGGGATACTGCCGCAGGGTTTCAGCGGTGCCCTGAGCCTGGAAGATGCTCGCAATCCTACTACCGCAGAGCTGCTGGTCTCTGTGCGGGTGTTGCAATCTGCTGTGAAGTCTTGAGGCAGGTCTCGATTTGCTGACCTTACGCCCAGGGATGGCAACAGGCGCGCAGAGGCTGCAGCGACCATTCCAGGCGTCCTGCAACTTGACGGTTACGTGCGTGTGCACCAGCATCAGGCAGTCTGGCTGTGCTCTTGGCAGCAGCGAGTGGGGCAACGACGATGACAGATCTGTGCTGTCGGGTGAGTCATGTGCGAAAGGACTCGGCGGCCTCGACGGCTGTTGGATTTCTGAGAAGGCATTTGGCTACTGGCATGTTCAAGCCATGGGGCGAACTGCAGAAGCCCTGATCCCATGACCATGACTTCGAAGTCGATGGCAATGAAGCTCGCAATCTTTATGTCCGGATGTTTGTTGTTCGAAACAACTGTGCTTTTCTTTGTACGGTTCTCCATGCACTCCTCTTCCGCGAATAGCATGGCGTGACTGGCGTACTGAAAACAGTTCCGGTGCTTTGGTGTTGCGGCAGAACTGGCGAGCAGAGCCAAGCCGGCTGCCGAGGTCTGTGTCCGGTACATGGATGACTGGCCCTTGGCAATGTCCTGCTCTTAGATAATACTAGTAATACTAGTAATAATAGTAATAACAGCAATAATAGTAATAATAGTAATACTGGTAATTTCCCAATGCTTCGTCCCATTTTTCATGTCAGCCTCAGGCTCATTGCGCAACACGTCGAGCTCAGTGATCCGGACATCGCTGCCGAGCGACGGCGTGTGCCACGCAAATCCAGCCTTTTGCTGTCATCTTGTCTCGACCATTGCTGCGTGAAGGACTATCATCGTAGTTTCCTCCTTCTGGTTGATGGCGTTTGCTAATGTAATCTTGTGACTCTGACCTCATCATGGAAGGTGCTGCAGGACGATCTTCTTCCGACGGCACGTAGAGGGCACGACCCATGGCTGGCATCTTTGGACGGATGCTTAGAGCGCCCACCACCGGTGAGGATGCGTGTCCAGTGGAGCTCTTGTCGGTCCTGCTAGATTGTGCTACGGATCGGTCCGTCGAGGCCTGAGGAGGAGAGCGGATGACCTGAGCCTTGTGCCGAGGTGCACTGGCGTCTACATGATCATCACCAAGCCGTCGAGACGGTCCCTGGCTTGCTTTGAATGGTTGCAAATGTGGAACATTAAGGCAAGAGCCAACACCAGCCTTTGCAACAGTTGCTAAGACTGTCAGGCTTCCGATCCTGACTTCACAAATTTGGTGACCTGTGTGTGTGTGTGTGTGTGTCTGCAGCAAGTTCCGGTTGGCTTTGCAGAGCATTGTGATTGGTCTATTATTGTCAAGAGTGGCTGTTCTCATTAACATGCTTCTCTCGATGTATGACAACAGATGATTGCAGGTCGTGCGACCATTCCACAACATGGAGGAAAGATCAGCTGCAGGCGGGATGAACACCGCAGCGTCTTGCGAAGAGCCGTCTCAGCAATACTATTTCTCGGCACCGGGTTGACAACGCCTTCTGCCTCGGTTTTCCATTCGTCGAGGTAGATTTTCTGGTCTTTGCTGTAACGTGGCAAGACGAGAAGATGCCCTTCTTAGCAGAACTCGGCTCGGGCTGCGAGTAACGGATCGTAGTCTCAGCTCGACGAATCGATGATGCTTCAATGTTGCACTCACGAAGGTTGCTCTCCGAGACAGTAGGTGGCAGCCGGTCTTTGAACGCTCGGCTAGAAGAAGACAGTTGTCACTGTCCAGATTGACATGTATCCGGCTGTAGATCCATCGGAAATTGCGCACAGGAGATGTCACACAACGCACTTTCAGTTAGGAGCTCGGAGCGTTGTGCCATGTGCGACTCCGTGTAGATGCTTGTGTCCCCCTAAACTGTGTGCGAGATGGCAAGGTGGCGGTGCTTTGCAGCATGCTGGCTTTTCACCAGGATTGCCTCTTCCGTCTGAACAAAGAGGCTAACAGATTACTGTCATACTAGTCTTTCGTTCCCCAGGACTGCCACGCTTCTTGGCCATGTTGCAGGTGCACCGGGGGTTGGTGAGCTCAAACTGCAAGCTCAAAATCACTGTCGCTTTCGAACGCTGTTGAATTTGCAACGCACTTGAAGGAGACTCTTGCGAAACGCAACGACAGCTTTATGCTGCCAGAGGCAGGAACGTAGAGTCCATTCTGCCTGTCTGCCCATCGGGAGTGGGATTGTTGGTATCGTGAAGGGGGTTGAATGGGTATATTGGATTAAGCTGCTTGAGTCGGCAGCGTGGTGGAGCAATTTTCGTCATCGATTCGGAAGATTCGAATCTGTTCGCTGTGCTTCGAGTGTACAGTGTGAAAGTAGCACACGCGGAATGTCTGTACGGTAGCAGCAGGAGAGCACTCGGCGTGTGGGTGGAGGACTCAGCCGTGCCCGGTTATTCGAAAGGATCTGCGAGTGAGAGCAAGCTTTCTCGGTCGGCTTGCAGCTGGAAAGCCTCAGAGCATACAGGCACATGAGCCTTCGAAGGTCACAAGGTGCCAGCCAGTAGAGACCTGGTTGTAGGGGAGCCTTGGTCCAGTGTCATGTGCGCCGACGGTGCTTCACCGGGAGGCCGCACGTGCAGTTCATTCACTGACCTCACAAGGGTTTCGATGGGTCTGGCGTCTGAGCCGAACCCAGCTTTGTAGGTGGTGCGGCCGCGCGGGGAAGCAGCCCTGCACCGGTGCTGCGCGAGCCGAGTCCGGGGCCCTGTGCGGAGACCAGAGAAAGCCCCTTCTTCGCTGCCGCGCTGGCGGTGATCAAGGCACCCGCAACAGATTGAATTACAAATACTCGTAGTCGTAGTTAGCTGCACTTTTGTTGCAGACTTTGCCTCGAGTCTCCCGTGAGCTCGGGACCTCAGGGCGCCGCCGCAAGAGCTCTGGAGATTCCGCTGGCCCTCACCACCGTGCCTCGTCAAACGGTTTCCGATGCCTGCTTCCGTCTACTGCAATGAAGGGCCTTTTTTAGCAAATTTGTCGGTCCGAGATGCTAGAATCCCAGGAGGCAGTGAAGCCCTGCAACGACCTCTCGGGTCGACTTACGCTGAACTCCGTGGAGACCTTTCCATCGAAGCCACAGCGAACAAAGCGGCGGGCCCAGAGATAGAAGACTTTAGACGGCTTTACATCGATTCGAAGTACCTCTCAAGGAGTCCAATGGTTGAGTTTCAAGACTAAGGTTTGAAAAGCTTGTCGCCGAGAAAGTCTCGGAAGACGCTGCCTTCCGGGTGTTCACATTGCCCAAGGCCAGTCGCCAGCTGCAATGGATGTATTGTCTCTATTCTCTTCATTCAAAAACCCCCGGTGCCAGGCCATGGCCAAGGACAGCGAACAGTTTAGGGTTTAGGGTTTAGGGTTCAAGTACTGTCATGGAGTCATAAACCACTGTTTTCAAGACGGGAGGACAGCACTACTGTACAGGTAGCGCGTTGTTGTTCACACCCTGCATGTTGTGCATTACTGGAACATTCGAAGAAGCATGAGAACAACCCCAGCACCACCAAAAGCAATTCAGCAGTATCGGTAGGTTTGACACTGAGAAGAAGACGAATAGTCCAGAAGCACTACACGTACCTTGCTACCACACTTATTCTGTCAAGACGCCTAAACCTATTAAACCTAAACCGCCCTAAACCCTAAGCCCGAAGCCATAAACATCCCTAACACCTGGACCCTAAACCAAAGCTCAGCCGCAGGAGCTTTACGGCAGTACCTTCTGCAGTGTGGACCGGCCAGAGGAAGAGCTCCCAGACCCAGTGCAGCTTATCAGCCTCCGGGCCGATCTTTCATTGAAGAAGCCCTGAACATTATCTGTAGGGTTTAGGGTTTAGGGTTTCTGAACCCATGGACCTGGACAGCTCGTCCTAAAGCCTTCTGAAGTGCACTCGAACACGCATATATCGAGCCCTTCCGGTGCCTTGGCCGGTGGTTGCAGAGGCTTGTCGGACTGGTGCCTCATAGTCGGCGACTACCCGGTACTCAAGTCGACTGCCCAGCTGGGTAGACTCGATACCTGGCCGCAATGTATTGCACCGGCCCCCAGATGCAGTGCACCTGGAGTGTGGACAAGGAGCTGACCGGATTCAAGCACCGGAACGAGAAGGCGGACTCCTGTCATGTCGCAGCATGGTGTGGCTCTGTACTCACTTTTGCATGCTTGCAGCTCGGAGTTTGCTCAGGGCCACTTCGAGGTCAGCTTCAAAATTCATCCACCAGGTGATCGTGGGAGTGCTACCTGAGTTTCGAGGTAGCACCTGCACTTGCGAGGTACATGTCCGTCGCTAGCAGAGGCGCTGGTTGTGTTGCCTGTTGCCGAAGCACACTTTTCGATTCAGAGCCTCTGCATCTTGTGTCTTTTTCGGTCGCAGGCTTCTGACTCTACTCCGCCCGCATTAGCAGAGCTTCTGCCCACTGCGGCAGCAAGCTGAGAAAATCCTTCAATTCGCCAAGCAGGTCTCATCCTAAGTAGAGTCCTCTACAAAACCTTCAAACACTCGCTGCATGTGGGCGAGCGACGCCAGGAGATTCTTCTTTGCGAGGCTCCGATGTGCAGGGTTGTCGCTGCGCGGTAGATGCAGGTGCCTTCTCCGGAGTGTGAGGAGTCGTGCAGCATGCCAGCATACAGCCTGAACAATAGGGAAACATACACCTTTGTGATGCTGGCTGCGACCGTGTTGTTTCCGTGCGGCCAACGCGTCGCGCACGGGTGCTCTGCCGGAGAGCGGATGTGGCAATGATGCTTTCAAAATGCTGTCTGCTCCTGCCAGTTGTGCATAGTCATGGCGAAGGGCTGGAGGGAAACTGCTGCTGGACTTCCAGCTTGTCTGCATTGCTCGGTTCAAGAAAGGGTGATGCCTGCGAGCATCGAGTGCCCTGCATGTGCCCTGCATGCCTCGGGACGAGCTGCTTGGCATCTGTGCCGGTAGGCAGAAGTTCAAGCGGACACGGGATGTATGGCAGTACCGTTTTTTCTCAATCATTTGGGTTCTTTTTGAGGATGTTGCTTATCAAGGATCTATGCACGGCCTATAGTAGGATCATCTATTTCCCAAACTCCGATTTGGGCAGTATAGAACGATGTGAGCAAAATCCAATAATAAGACGACAATGGTCATGTTGCCAAGATCAGTGACAATGAGACGAATCGTAGTGCTCATAGCCTGTACACTAGATTCGACTAGATGTAGGAATAATATCAACAGTATTCAGAACGTGAAATACCACGACGACAACTTTGGAGGACAATTGTCAAAGTATGTGTGGTAGTAATCGAAACACTATCAACAGTAGTTGCAGCGGCGGCGGAGGTGGTGTTGTAGAGTAATAGTTTGAGTAATGCTAGCAGCAGGAGTGGCAGTAGTGGTAGTATTGGGAGCAATAGTAAAATGCTGTAGTAGTAGTAGTAGTAGTAGTAGTAGTAGTAGTAGCAGTAGCTGTAGCAGTAGCAGTAGCAGTAGCAGTAGCAGTAGCAGTAGCAGTAGCAGTAGCAGTAGCAGGAGGAGTAGGAGTAGG